ATTTCATTGTTTTGATCATCAAACATTCGACCCCTTTTTCCAGTTTCTAGAAGAAAAACACATGCAGGAATACAAGCTGCTTAATTCTGCATCTTGTGTATTAATATCTGATGTCCCTGTGTGTTTTTATGCCTCTGTGTGTGAACCAATGTGTAGTCTTACAGTATTTTACTGTTGAAGCTGCCAAAAGCTTATATTTATTCCAGTAATTATAATCTTTAATGATGACATTTTTCTTGCCAGAAACACAGATAATAAGAAATGCTGTTTCCTCGCTTTAATCCTTGGCAGGAAGTCTGAATATATGCAAAAAAGAAAGAAATCTGCATTATTTTTTATATCAAATATGCCTGAACATGCCAACTGGACAGATTCTTGATAAAATACTTATATGTTACTCTGACCTTGATGCATATTTAGATTTCATATGCAGTGAACCCACACACACTCTCTCTGTTTGCACTCGTGCTTCTGTATTCACACACACACCTCCACACAGTTGTCGCAGACGCTGCAGTGCGAGCAGCGAGGCGGCCTGTAGAAGTGACAGGTGGCGCACCACTTCATCCGGACCTGAATGCCCTTGATCTCCACGTTCTTGTAGAGCGGTGCCCGGAAATCATCCTCCTTATCCTCGTCCTCGTCCGCTGTGGGTGAGAAGAAGACATTGCAAAAAACCCAGAAAGAGACGCGTGGTCGTGCTTTATGATTCCATTTGACAGGGACACACGGGAAGCGCCTCAAACGAAGCCCACCCTGCTGTTAGATGTCTGCAGAGAGCAAACCCGTGACCTATTCGGTGTGCTTTGAGCTGATCAACTGTGTGACTTGTGTAGAAGAGACTGCCGGGCTTTATTTTGCACAAGTTTAGACATTCTTAAAGTGGATTTGTTTTTATGGGAGTTAGACCTCAAACCCTGGCAGAATTATCGGTTTGCTTTATCTGACATAAAAAGATAATTAAACCCGTACTTTGCAAACTGCAGTTGGATGAACTGCAACTGTTAGCCACAAGCAGAAATGCAATGCCATACGCAAAGTATTCCTTATTGCCTATGCAGAGGGAAAAACGGAACAACTCCTGCAGCTGAGAGCTTTTTTGTTTTGTTTCTACTGTGGAGCTGTACTAAAGCAACATGCCTTTCATCTGATCAAAGGAGCACATTTGATCGATTTGCATGAAACTCCAACTTCAGAAAATAATTTCACAGTACAGCAATAACTGACCCGGGTAGCTGAGTACACGCATGCAGAAGGAAACCAAGCAAAGGTAGAGCACAGAAATAAACAGTTCCATAGCGGGAGATTGCTCTGCTATTACGGCTCTCAAGTCGATTCAAATAGATTCTGAAGCAAAGCTGCTTGCCAAACCAGCAAACACAAACAGCAGTGAGGCTTGCATCTCCTCTGACAGATTCTTTCCTCCAAATGCTCCGTCCAAGCTTGTTCGGTGAACAAAGCATTGGCCTGTTTCGTACAAGCTACACCGCCTTTGTCAAACTCAATTCTATTTTTGCATGAAACTCAGGAAACAAATGAAGTATGACCTAAAATATACAGTTTGTTTTTATTTTTAGCACTAAAGACTAAGGCACCTACATCCAGTCGCATCCACAGCGACCGGCCATCAGCCACAATATTAAAGTCACTGACAGATGAAGTGGATGGCACCTATCATCTCAGTCTGTTAGGAAACATGGGGTTCTAGCATTGACCCACTTAAGCATTGCTGTAGACTAAATAAAAACTCCTCTCCTTAATAAAACAACGCACCCCAGTGGCAGCCACCTTGCCCTGACACCTGACACTCCAAAACATTTTAGGATTGTTCTCGAGAAATGCAGCAAAGAGCAGAAGGTGATAGCCCACATCCCTCTCCTACTGAGCATCCTCGAAAGCCTGATCCACAGATGCCACGACCCTCAACCCACAAGGTCCAAAACATCCACTGCCAATGCTGAGTACCAGCCACACACAGCAGAACAATTCAATTCAATTCAATTCAATTTTATTTATATAGCACCAAATCACAACAAAAGTCACCTCAAGGCGCTAAGAA